TCCCCATGACTTTTTCAAGTAGTTTGAGTTGGGAAATAATTTAGTTAGAAGGGAAGCAGTCTAGGAAGAAAGCCATAAATTATTCTGATTGCTAATAAAAAGTCCTGTCTAAATGGAGTACAGGTATTGATTTTTTATTTTATTAAGGTTTGAACTCTGTACCCTTCACTCAAATCTATGAGTTCCTGCTTCTGACATCTTAAGAATCCTTGCTGTAACATAATCTTAAATATATTGTTGTTGTTAGGTGCTGTCTTTGCACAACAGAACCACTCAGTACTAAGGCTGCCTCACAATTGCTACATTTGAGCCACTGCCTCACAATTACTTGTTTTTGCCACTGTGTCAATCCATCTCCTTGGGAGTCTTCTTTTTTGTTGACCCTCCACTTTACCAAGCATGATTCCCTTCTCCAGAGAATGGTTCCTCATTATAACATGTGTAAAGTATGAGAGGTGAAGTCTCTCTATCTTGGCTTCTAAGAAGCATTCTGGCTATACTTATTCCAACACAGGTTGGTTTGTTCTTCTGGCAGTCCATAGTACTTTAATATTCTTTCCAAATATTGTAATTCAAATGCATCAATTCTTATATAGTCTTCCTTATTCACTGTCCAACTTTCACATGCATGAGGCAATTGAAAATACCATGGCTTGGGTCAGACACATACCGAAGACCTCAAACTGACATGTTTGCTCTTGAACACTAAAGTGGTCTTGTTCAGCAGATTTACCTAATGCAATACTTCCTTTGATTTCTTTACTGTTGACTTCCTTGAGTGTTGATCATAGCTCCAAGCAAAATGACAGCACCAATCTTTTCTCCATGTATCTTGATGCTGTGAGGATCTTTGTTTTCTTTATATTGAGGTGTAAAGTGCTTATGTACATATGTGTGTGTGTGTGTGTGTGTGTGTAATTTTAATTCGTTTAAAACTAGATTATATATGACCCATCTCTTTCCAGGAAGAAAAGAAGTCCCAAATAACTGGTAACTTGAGACTATGATAGATATATAACTCACTCTTTTATAATTCTTGAGTGCAGTATTGTTGTTGTTGTTGTTGTTAAGTGCCGTCGAGTCGGTTCCGACCCGTAGCGATCCTGCACAGGGTTTCCGAGGCTGTAAATCTATACAGGAGCAGAAAGCCTCATCTTTCTCCCACGGAACAGCTGGTAGTTTCGAACTGCTGACCTTGCGGTTCACAGCCC